GGGGGGGGGGGGGGGGGGGGGGTTGACCTGGACAATTCACACACACATGGCTCATCTATAATTAACATAGATCCAACATGAGGCCCAACTACTTTAGTTCCTTCTGTAAAGTTATTGTAATCTTAGCCTTTATTACAAAAATAGCCATTATTATTTAGTTGTATATATAGAAGTAGGGTTGGCTGTTTTGGACAAGTTTTGACATTATATTTCCTAAATCAGATAGAAAATTCTCTCTGCTCTTTCACCGACTTACCTTGAGCTCATTTCCTACAATGGAGAAAACCTCAAGTTCTCTGTTCCTATGGTAAATCAACAAAAAGTTCAAAATCGAAAGAGTTTAATAGCCTGTTTTGGCCAAACTGCAAAAAACAGCTTATTTTGAGAAGTATTTTTTCTCAAAAGTATTTTTTTCAAAAGTAAAAAAGTACTTTTGATGAGAAACAGTTTGTATTTGGCTAATTTATTTGAAAAACACTTCTGAGCAGCAATTAGTGTCTGACCAAACTTTTAAAAACTGCCTCTGAGTGTTTTTTCTTAAAGTGCTTTTTAAAAAAGTATTTTTGGAGAGAAGCTACATTTTCCGCTTCTCCAAAACTGCTTATGCTTCTCCTCAAAAGCCTTTTTTTTTTCTTCTAAAAGTATGGACAAACACTTCAACTTTGGAAAAAAAAATACTTAGCTTGGCCAAATATGCTATAAGTTGTATACACTTACAGTGTCAACAGATTTATGCTATCATGTTACTTTTATCTATTGTAGCAAGTAATTTACTTTATTTTGAAGCAAATCCACTTTTTGCAGAAAGTTACATATAAAACCTTTTAAGGACCTGATAGTATAAGATTACGTATAACTTAAACTCAAATCGAAATAGTTGGATCAGTGGGTTGTTAATTAATACTTGAACCCTTACCTATTAGTATGAGGCAACGGTTGAAGGCATGCTTAATTCTTCAATGGAATGTTAAGTCTGAGTATCTCCAAACTCGGTTCCAAAGCTGAATTTCTAATTTATTTTCAATAGAATTATTGACGTGCATTTTCTCAACGTCACTGCTACAAAAAAATATTGTCAACTAACATTAAGGAGAGAAAAAAACGAATTGGTCTTATTTAAGACATATGTCACCTCCCTAGTAGAATTATATCCAGATATGATTTAAATAAAGCTAAAATTTGATTTATAGAGATGGAAAGAATAATTTTCCATCTTACATATTTTAATAAAAATAATATCTAGATGGTATAATTAACCTATTTTATTCATTGAGAATATCAATTTTTGCAAGTCTGTTATGTTGTTCCGTTGAAGGATTCCAGTCTTGATCAGATGCGAAAGAAATGTGATTTTCTTTTATTTTCATTTTAGGGTCAACCCGAAAGATAATAAATTAATGCTCTTTGCACATACACAACTCTATTTTTCGTGCTGCAAGTTATGCCTTATTATTCAGAATTGCAGGTGTAAACTTTAATTTCGGCATTCTTTTTCTTTGGGTAAGAAAATATGAGCACGAACCACGAAAACAATAACACAATGATATATATATATATATATATATATATATATATATATATATATATATAAGGCCAGATTAGTAATTAAAGGATTCCTTTAAGAATATTGAGTCGAACCCCTTTATAAAAATAGGAAAAACATTTACTTCACGTTGCTAAACATCATCGTGGAATTCTTGCCTTAGGTTTTCTCATCCATAGGGGTGTTCAAACCGAATCAGAAAACCGCACTAAACCGAAAAGTCAAACCAAACCGACTATAAAATTCGATTAAGTTTGGTTTGATTTGGTATGATATTGATTAAAACAAATCTGAACCAAACCGACATATAAATATGTAAATTTTATATATACTTTTAAGACTTTATACTGAGTTTTCTTTAAAAAATATCTAGAAATATTTGGGATCCTCTCATGGGATATAATATTTAATAGAACTATGAAGTGCATTTATTTTTATTTAGTATAAATAATGGGTTGTGTCACTTTCTTATCTAAGTGTTATTGAAATGTGTCAATCTTTATTCTTCAACATTTACATGTCAAGATTTCTTATACTATATTTTTCGAATTTGAAGTGGTATTTCGATAATTTAAAATTAAATAGAACATATCATTAACTAGGTATCATATTGATTTTTATGTTCAATTATTAAATTCGGTTAACTTTGAAACCGTACATTAACGAAAAATTATTGTTAGACGACTAAGAAAATAACTATTATGTGTTACTAAACATAATTCTCCCAATAAAATATTTTAATATATCATATTTTTGTCATTTTTTTAAACTTTTAGTAAACATATATTCACTTATCAAAATTTTATCTATAATTCTCACAAAGTAAGATTGAAATAATATTCAAGTAAAAAAAAGTAGAAATGGCGTGGGGTAGCCACTTTTTAATGTGATATTTAGTTTTTATCCAGCATTTTTAATGTTGAGCAAAAATAGCCATTACTCTATTAAAATTAATACGAAAATACGGTTTTACCCTTTCTTCATGAGTGTTGTGTAAATATTAAGGACATGATGTCCTAAAGTTTAACAATAGAAGGTGCAAATACATGACACTTTATCCTTAATATTTACATAGCACTCATGAAATTAAGGACACCATGTCCTTAATATTTATACAACACTCATAAAGTTAATGACACTATGTCTTTAACATTTACACTGCACACATGAAGTTAAGGACACCATGTCCTTAACATTTACATTGCACATATGAAGTTAAGGACATGATGTCCTAAAGTTTAACAATAGAAGATGCAAATACATGACAATTTGTCCTTAATATTTACACAGTACTCATAAAGTTAAGGACATCATGTCTAGCATAGGGGTATTTTCGTCCGGGTGGGTAAAAGTTTATTAAAGCACTGACTAAAGAGTAAATACAATTTAAACAATGGCTTAAGAGTAAATACAGCTCTAATTAGTGGCTAACTGTGCACTTCCCCCATAAAAAAATCAGAAAAACCCGACAAAACTGAATCAATCCAAATCGATATAGTTAATTTGGTTTGATTTTAATAAAATTCGAACTAACCCGGTCCATGTACACCCTTAATCGTCCAAGTAAGAGAGGACAAGCCTTTCACGAAATTGAAAAAATAAAAAGGGTTTACGTGCATCCAATCAATTTTAGAGGAGGCAAGGATCGATACAACAGTGTTGAACGCCATTAATTTGCCAATTGTCGACTTTTTTATTTGTGACAAACGATTAATTAAAAGCGTTGAAGAAGCATTTCATTAAACATTATTTTCATATTCTGTGCAGACCACCACCTCTCTATTAATCCCATGCCACCACATAGATTATGACAATAAAAATATTTTTAGTCAGAGGCTTGACATGTCTTAGAATTAGAAAAAAACAGAGATAATTGTAATAAGATAACAGGAAAATTAATGAGGGGAACAAGCTAAGCCTTTCGTTATTGCAATAGACTGCAATATATTGAATAATCAATACAAAATAATTGAGTTTTGATGCTTAACACAACCTCAGAAACAGGAAATCAAAGAATGTTTCCATCACACCTAATAATAAAATGTCAACTTGTAAATGACAAAAAACTTTTCTTTCTCTTTTTCTCTTTTTTTTTTTTTTTGGTTTTAGTATTCCAAAAATAATGACAAGGGGAAGGTAAAAGGAAAGAAGAGCTTTATTAATTATTAATTATTAATTAATGAGATCGAGATTTAAAAATTGTATAAAATTAAACAGGAATTTATCGATACACAATATTTACGTCACTACAAAAAAAAATGGAATTAGCTATAAACATCGTCGTTAAAACGTTCGTAGTTAGCAGAATTTCTTGATAATCTGTTGCTGAATTTTTCGGTTTAGCTACATAATTTGTCCCTCGCTAAAACCTGATTTTTTTAGTAGTGCGTGCAACAGTCCAACCTAGCTAGTTAATTACCGAATCCTGACCCATATTCCTTCGCTTGGTATGCCTTGATGTACCACAAAAAGAAGATAATAACCTGCTGGAGCCAAATTACTTGAATTTGGAAAGACCGAATTGATTTTGTAAGCTGATTTTCCCACTCGTGTCACGTTTCCACTAAAAAGCACAAGCATTCTTTGGTTCATAGTAAATGAATGTGTGTTAAATCCTGGTGAAACCATTGTTACCTTGACCAAATCTCTTTTTACCGATCCGGGTATGGTAAATCGAATATTGACCCGTCCTCCGTACTTGACTTTACGTTGGGAAGTGGGTGAAATAATCTGTGGGCGCGAATTTGCGAATTCTGGATCCAAATATGATGGTGAAAATGTTTCCAAGCTTAACTCTGTCGGGTAAAGAACTCCTGTAAAGTTATAAAGCGCATGAGGATTACTACCACCAACAAGAACTCGACCGTCACGAAGTAAAATGGATGTTGAGTGGTACATTCTTGGTATACTATTTGAGTTTTGTACCTCAAATCTTGAATGAGATGGGTTATCGGGTCGGTAAATAACCGGACTCAAAACGGGGCTCCTACCAAGTTCCCAACCAGCAGTGCCCGCCGCTGCTCCATTGATGATCAAGACGTTTCCATTTGGTAAAATTACCATGTCACCCATTGTTCGAACAAGTGGCATGGTTTCCATGATCCACTGTGGATTCGGGTCGGTAATTGTAATCCGACCGCAAGTATTTAATGCACCTAAAAAGTTACCACTGCTTGCGTTGAGGTATGAGCCTTTTGTTGTTCCACCACAGACCAAAACCTCAGCTTGAATTGTTTGTGCTTGTAAGTTCTTTAACGGAAGAAGAATTGCAGACCCTGTACTTGGATAATTTCTCGGGTCACCACCAGGAATTTGTGGGTACGTTTTCACCACCGTGTTTGCCATGTAATTGAACAATATAGCTCGGTCGTTGGCGAAAATGAAGAGATTTCCATCCACATTGAGAAAAACAAATGGGTAGAGATTGTTTTCCTCTCTAGGATCATTAGTCTGCTGAAGAAAGGGTAGGCTAAATACATTGTTAGTTGAAGCAGTCTTGGGATAGAACTCGTAGTTAAAAGCCTCACGACCGCCAATAATTATTTGCCTTCCATCAGGAAGAATATGATTAGTGGCGTACCAACGACTTTGAATTAGGCCACCTCCTATTTCTTTCCAGTCACAAGTGCTGCCATTGCCATTACATGGTCTAAAAACTCTTACAACATTTTCGCCGTCGTTGAAACCACCAGTTTGAACCAAAGAACCGTCGGAGGTGGCAGAGCCAGAGGAGCACCACACGTCGGTCTGGACCATGAGGGGTCGTACAGAGTTTGTGGAAACATCGTACTCGACAGAATGTGCAGTGCAGTCGAGTTTCAAGGCGAGGTCATTAGAATTGTTGCGGCATTTGCCATCGGGCAATGAGATATTGGACGCGCCAAAGTCAGTACGATCATATATGATTACTCTATCATTGTTGAGGAGTTGCATGTGCATGGCTGAAATGCCAATGTTGGATATCAATAAGTCCCAATTGCCTCCGGCAGCGTAAGCCAATTTTCTGTAACATGGTTGTAGCAGAAGCAGAAGCAGCTGACCAAGAATCAAGAAAGGAATACCTGCTGTTCTAGTTGTCATTAGCTTCGTTCTTTTTGCTTTCTGATTCTGACAAATATATATTCTCGACCAAAGGCGAAGAAAGAGGAGAGTTTTAAGAAGCTGGGGAGATGTGAGTATAATCGACTTTGTGGGGATGTTTATAGAAGCTGTAATTTAGGTGGGACATCCTTTATATACTAGCAAGATGGTACACCTTTGGAAATGTTGTTGTATTTGGTGGCGGAGTCCGGATTTTCGTTAAGGAGAGTCAAAACATAAAAAAAAACTCATATTAAAAAATCAAGGGGTGTTATTATATAATATATATACATATTTTTTAAAAAATAACCTAATTATAGAGTGTAATTTTTCGGCGGTTGACACCCCTTTGGTGTATGTGGCTCCGCCACTGCTGCCATTTGCGTACAAAAAATAAATAATTCCGGCCGGTGATTGTTAATTGGGGGAGGAAGAATTCTGGTTAAAGATAATGCTATATATGTATTATATATTGTTGGAAAATTAATGATATCTCGAAAAGTAATGTCCAGGTTTGGAAAATCTTTTCTTTTTAAAATATTATTTACATCTACTTATTATTTAGTAAATCATTTTACAATTAATAGAGTCAAACTAGCTGTGCCGTTGGAGCAACACCTATATAAACATGGTCTTTGAAGAGCTAAAGACACACTTTCTAACATAACTTTCTGAATCATCTTCTTCCTTCTATATGCTGAGTTTCTTTCTTGAATTTTTTCCTAGTTCTGTTCCTAGTTTTATAACTGGTAGAGCTTGTTGAATCCCGGGGAATACGCCTAATTTTATTCATTATTATGTGGGCAAAATATCCTTAAAGACAGTGTCCTTGACACTTCTCAACCTAAATCTTATTCTCCATAATCCAATTATTTTCCAAACGTATATGTTGTGTGGAAACAGATTTGTATCAAGTAATGTGGAGTACGCATTGACCTGATAATAGTATTACTTACCTGGAGACCTTGCTGTTGACAAGTCTGTAGTAATAAAATACTCATATTTTGGCGACGTTTCAATGAAAAACTTTGCAATTTTTTTTAAAAATGAAATTCATATATTCAGGCTTTCACCTCGTCTGGCATTAACCCCTCCCTTATTTATTACGAATAACCAAAAATAGTACAAGAAGGAGGACATAAAACCTTACCTCTTAAAATCCTATTAATCATAGTAACAACTAAATGCATAGAGAGATTGTATGATCCCCTCTAGCTAGCCTTACTGAAACAAAAGAAAACAAAAAAACATGAAACCTTCTTTAAGTAATGATGGCAGGAGCCTAATATCTTGTACCATATTCTAACTAAAGATATGGTTAGGACTTGGTTGTATATTCCAACTAATTGACACAACATCAAAAGCATCATATATTATGCTTGAAAGATGTGGTCTTCAATCATTTAATAATGCAAAACAGAGAACTGAATGATTAGTCAACATCCTCCTGTTTCAATTTAGAAATTTAGAAATATAGTTTGACTCGTGATGGAGTTTAAAAATATAAGAAGATTTTTAAAATTTGCGGTCTTAAAAACATAAGGGATAAAAGTTTTGTGAGACTATAACATTTATGTGGTTATAAGAGCTTCTCATTAAGAATAAAATGGGTAAAATGAAGAGTTTAAAGTTAAATTATTTTCAAATTTAAAAATATATCATTTATTTTGAAACAGACTAAAAATAAAAGTATATCGTCTAATTTGAAACAGAAAAAATATTAAAAATATGTAATTGCACCGCGGATTGTTGCCTTTGGGATATATTTACATCAAAAAGTTCATCTTCATCTCTCCTCGTGGTTAGAGCTATGAAGGGTTGTCGATTTCTTTTATATTATAATCATTCTGTTTTGATGTACTTTTGACAAATTCAATTCTACACTATTATTCGTATGTATGTAATAGTAGTATAATTGGAGGTTCTGTTTCATTCGAACTAAAAGTATATTTAGAAATATTGCTTAATAAAAAATACAATATACAATATACAAGATATTTAATACATTATAATAACTTGTTTAAATAATTTATTTTTATAATATTCAGATCGAATTTGGACACATGTAACATCCGATTTCGAGCCCTAATCAGTAGCTCTATTTTGGATGCTTTCTCTTCTTTCTTCAATTGACTTGTTGCGATTCTCGTTGCAATTGTTGCTTTGTTGTTCAGCACTTGGTGTAAAACCATTTTGCAAAACTTTGGTGACCTTCTTATTGGTTTGTCTCTTTTTCGACATAACAAAGTGTGCTAGTAGTGAAAGACTCATGTTTAGAGGTTTTAAATACTAGCTTATGTTTAGCGTGTTGTGCGTGTGTTCCATTTTGATGAGTAAGAAAATTAAAAATCACATAAATATTATTCAAAAATTATATCTTAAATTATAAATAAAAATGTGATTTGCTAACTCAATAACAAAAGAATTGCTCCACATAAATCCGCATGCCCTTAACTCAAATTATTTACTCATCTATTAATATTTGATGGAACATTTCATTTATTCCAAGAGAATGACTTCAAATCGTAAATATCAGATAAAGTCTTTGATGCTATTTTATAAGTTCAATAGATCTAAGTTTATTGCAACAATAATCTGGGACAAAGTAAAAAAAAAAAAAAAAAAAAAAAAAAAAAAGATACTGAAATTCCTAATATAAATAAAAAAGGAAAGTTATTTTTCAAGATAGAATCAAATTGTTTTAAATTTTTAAATTTTGACATAGATAAAAAGAAGAAACAAACTTTCGAGAAAGATTAAATTATTTTTAATTAAAAAATACTAAAGAAAACATTCTTAAAGAAACATAGAGTTAGAGTCAAAAACATCGGTCACAAAATTAAGATTAAGTTTTGAGAAACCACTATTATTTAGTGGCTATTAACTTCCTATAGTTATCATATACATAATTACTTTCTATAGCTACTATTCAGTGGTTACGGTAGTATATTCGTTGTATTCGCGCTGCTGTATTCATGAATACTAACAGCAAAAAGCACCTAAAAATCATAGCAGTCCAGTTGTACGCGCATGTATTCATGAATACAACAACAAAAAAGCCTAAAAATCAGGGTAGTCCAGCTGTACGCGTATGTATTCACATGTATTCGCGCCATATATTCATGAATACAACAGCAAAAAATGCCTAAAATCAGAGCAGTCTAGCTGTACGCGCATGTATTCACATGTATTCGCGCCATGTATTCATGAATGCAGTAACGACATTCACCTTAAAAATAGGTATGTCCACTTGTCTAATAACGGAAATAATATCAATTAGGGTGATACACTCCTAATATAACTAAACAAAATCAATTCTAACATGCCTCATTATCAACCCAATTAATTAGAATGATTTTTCAATTGTATATAACTTTTGTATTTAGTGTTTTTCTATATTTTTTAACTGTTGCATTCATTAGATTCAATATTTGTATTTACTGTATTTGCTATTTTATATTCAGTGTATTCAAATATATTTGTATTGACAGTATTTTAGTTATTCCCAATACTTCAGTATATTTCATTGATTGTATTCACTGTATTTCTATTTGTATTCAGTGTATTTTACTGTATTTTAAAATTTAATGTATTCACTATTTATATTCTATTCTATTTTAATATTTGTATCAAGTGTATTTCAATGTTTATATCCTTTATTCATGCATACTGTATATATAGTATGCATGAATACATGTGTATTCAACTATATTAAAAAAATACACACATTCGAAATACATATACACATGCAAAAAAATGTATTTATTCAAAAATACAATGTGTCTGAGTGAATTTGTAGAGAATACAATGTATTTGTATCATTGTATGTGATTAAATAGCAAAAAAGAGAAGAAAGTTCGTTGGAGATGACATTTTCCGGCCAAGACTCCTTGTATCGCTTCACTACCTCTTCCATTATAATTTACAACACTTCCAATTCAACCGCTTCTTCCTTTTTCTCTCTTACTTACCGCGCTAAGAATCCACCTTTCTCTTTAATCTCTTCGTCGCCCAAGGTATCTCCGCTTCCTTTTTTTGATTATAGGTTTACTTTCATGTTTCTGATTTTGAGATTTTTATGCTTTCTTCCATAATTTATTTCTCTTTCGTGTATTTATGATTTGACCTATTTTGCTCGAAGAGAGAGAGAAGAAAGAGAGAGAGAGAAAGAAGAAAAATTATGAGAGAGAATCGTGTGTTAATTGAAAGAAAGAGAGAGAGAGAAAGAAGAAAAATTATGAGAGAGAATCGTGTGTTAATTGAAAGAAAGAGAGAGAGAGAGATAGTAAAAACATAAATAGCGTATTTCATGCCTCAATTGTAGTATGTACCATAAATACTTATTTTTCTATAAAATATATAAGGTAGCTATAGAAAATAATATTTTAAAATAATTTTGGTTTATAATAAATAAGGTGTATACCTTTTTTATAGGAGATAAATTTCCTTTTAAAAACATGTTCAGTAATTGTTGGGTCAATGGTGTAAGAATTTTATCTCTCAATTTGAGCCCAAACTCATTTGACCCGCCCAACTCGTCCAAAATTTAATAGGTTAGGCAAGAACTATTTTACTGATGGGTTAAGATGGGCAATGCTCAAGTTGACCCGGGACTACAACATCCCATGTAATGAGCAGATTCACAATTTCTGTAACCTTTTTGTATTAAAATTGTATCTAGACATTTAAAATATTAAAAAAAAAAAAAAAGAATAATAAGAAGATGAATCCTCAAAGAATTGAGAGATGGTAGAATGAGAATTTTATTTTAAGAAATTATGTTAATTTATGAAAGAAAGAGAAGGTACCAAATTAATAACTTTTTTTTTTGGTTTCCCACCCGCTGCCCGATATTCACATTGGGGCCCGACTAAATCCGGATTCGCGCCGGGAAGTCCCACATTGGGGCTAAAGCGTTCCCTAACAAATGGGACTTCATACCCAAGGACTCCAACCCGAAACATATGGTTAAGGATGAAGGAGTACTATCCACTCCACCACAACCTTTGTTGATAAATTAATAACATTGACATAATTAATTCAAGGATAGAAACGGATTTGCTTATTTAGTGGGGCAGTAGATTTTTTAAATAACCACATAAATTTTTAATTATGCTAAAATGTCAGTTTATTTTGCAACAATTGTGTGTCTAACAACAACTTATCTATAAATTTTTCTTTTAGTTTTGCTCAGGTTTA